GTGTGTGTGTGTGTGTGTGTGTGTGTGTGTGTGTGTGTGTGCGTGCGTGCGTGCGTGTGTGTGTGTGTGTGTGCATGAGTGTGTTTGCGCGTAGGTGGCGACCAACTAACCACACAAAAGCATTGAAAGCACAAGGCATCATTAAACTCCTAAAGCAAAAAACCGCCGAGAGAGAGCAAAACTCGGCACCAAAAACTCCGTGCACGAAAAGCAATGGCCGCAAATCACCGCATGCTTGACCTCTGACCTTTGACCCCCAGAGAGTGCACTGCCACCACACCCACAACCTCAGTTAACTCATAACCAACGGGTCATGCACGGGGGGGGGGGAGGGAGCAAATGACCTTGGGGTGAGGTCAGAGGTTACGGGCCACGCTGCACGTGATTTACCTTGACTCTTCCATGCTCATTCTGGCCCACGATTTCCTATCTATTATCCTGAAACACAAAGAACGTCGGTTTAACGTCGGACGCCGCGGTCACGTGACGGCGACCGACCAATCACGAGCCGGCGGGTCGTCAGGCGACCAGTCAGGTCGTCGGATCCTGACCCTAACGCTTCGGCTACCATCGCCTTCGCCCACCACCTGGCCACTAGCGACTCGGATATCCTCCTCTCCGCGATGACTTAGTAGGCTGGGTGGTGTTTCACTGCGGTGCCTGCTACTACGTCATGTATAACGTATTACCACGACGATGAAGACGATGATGACGATGATACGAAGACTTCCCGGAACATAATCCTGCATAGCAACCTCACTCGCACGGCAAGCAGCGCTTTCACAACTGCTCCTGTGCTGCCCCCTACATTACACAATACAAACGATTCATCGGGACCCTCTCGCACGCACACACGCACGCACGCACGCACGCACGGTCGCACGGTCGCACGCACGGTCACAGGCACGCACGCACGGTCACACGCACGGTCGCGCGCACGGTTCTGTATATCTCTACATACATCTGTATATCTCTACATATATCTGTATATCTCTGCATACATCTCTCACACTATCTGCTCTGCGTTCGCAGGCCATTCATCGAGCTGATCGGCCGGATAGAGGAACTGCAGAGGAAAGAGTACGGAGACGAGGCGAGGGGAGCGCAGAGGTAAGGAGGGTCCCCGGTTCAAGTCCTGCTCACACGCGCCTGTGCCTCCACGCAGGGGTGAGCGTGCGTGCGTGCGTGCGTGCGTGCGTGTGTGCGTGCGTGCGTGCGTGCGTGCCTGCGTATATGTAGAGATATACAAATATATGCAGAGATATACAGATATATGTAGAGATATACAGATATATGTAGAGATATACAGATAAATGTAGAGCTATACAGATATATGTAGAGATATACAAATGTATGCAGAGATATACAGATATATGTAGAGATATACAGATGTATGTAGAGATATACAGAAACATGTAGAGATATACAGATATATGTAGAGATATACAAATGTATGCAGAGATATACAGATATATGTAGAGATATACAGATGTATGCAGAGATATACAGATATATGTAGAGATATACAGATATATGTAGAGATATACAGATACATGTAGAGATATACAGATACATGTAGAGATATACAGATATATGTAGAGATATACAGATGTATGTAGAGATATACAGATACATGTAGAAATATACAGATACATGTAGAGATATACAGATACATGTAGAGATATACAGATATATGTAGAGATATACAGATGTATGTAGAGATACATGTACAGATACAGATACATGTAGAGATATACAGATATATGTAGAACACAGGGCAGACAGATGTAGCAGATATATAGATAACTATAAATATAGATATATAATGTACGAGCAGATATATGATAAGCATGAGAGATGTATGTATAGATGGGAGATATACATACAGATATATGTATAGATATACAGATATATGTATAGATATACAGATATATGTATAGATATACAGATATATGTATAGATATACAGATATATGTATAGGTATAGCAACAGTTTGCGTCAGAGAAGGATATAGCAACAGATAGATATACGTAGAGATGTACATAGTTATAACACAGTATAGATACAGACGTACGAAAGTACATGTACGCACTCACTCTCACACGCACACGCGCGCGCACGCACACGCACGCACGCACTCTCACACACGCACACGCACACGCACGCACGCACACAGACACACTTACGTACACACTTACACACACACACGCACGCACACACGCACACGCACACACACACACACACATACTTACACAGTACACACACATGCACGCACATAATATAGATCACTCGTAGTTTGAACATAAATCTTACATATTTAATATACATTAATAAGGGGAAGCACTATATATGTAAATTAGCGCATTATATTTATATTATATT